TAGCTTCACAATCAAAAAAGCATTTCTACAAATGTAATTTATTTATGGATCTAACACAAGTTTCACTAGGAGACTATAGTAAATGTTACACAAACAAGTCTTTCAAATACAAATAGGTCTTAAGTCAGTGGTTAATGTCCAATGTGATAGAAGTGGACAATGATATTCCATATTTAAATTTGCATATTGAAAAAATACACCAGTGTTCACAGTTGAATGCAGAGCTGTATATGCTAATCACTATTCAACTCTTAAACATTTAGGAGGGTTTTTTTCTCCTGTGCTTGTCAGTTTTCACAACTTAAAGAATTATTCCCTTATTATATAATTACACAAGTTGCTTACTTGAGAGCACCTTGTTTTCACATGAACTAATCACACATGTCCAATCCACTCCACAGCTGATGACTTCGAAAACTTTTCTTCAAGCAAAATAATTTTGAACTGCTGCAGTTAGTTTTCCTTATCTCCTGCCTCTGAAAATGATACATTGTCAAATATTTAGTCAAAGTTAGTGAAATTCTGGCAATTCCTCTTATTTCTATTTTAAAGAGTAATTTTAGCTAAATCTAATTAGGAAGACCTTTAAAGGGAACCTTGACTAAACCATTGTAAAAGCAAAAATTTTGTTAAAAATAAAATGCTTTATACACACCTCACTTCACAAAACCAGTGCAAGTTTACACATAGACAAGACCTCAGCAATTTAAGAACACTTTGAAATTAGTTTGGTTATTCAAAATGAAGACACTAGCTTGCAATAGACATTTAGAGAAATACAGCTTGCTAGAGACAAGCTGGACCAGCCAGAGCAGGTACATGTACTGGGGACAGAAGGGCACAAACGAAGGTGGCTACAGAGACTCAACTGGTGAGGGGTTTGGGGTTGTTTTAAATAACCACAGCACCGTCACAAGTACTCAGCACTGACAGCTGATGGCAATACGTACAGGAGATCAAACCTAGTAAGTTATCTCCCCCACAACCTCAGTTTCGACACAGATAGTTGCAATTCAGCGTTAGTAAGGTACCAAGCTGAGCGTTCTGAACTCTGGATCAGATAGTCTTTACAGCAGAGTTGCAGGTACCATTAAACTGTCTCGTTAGGTTATTCAAAGGAACGCATCGAGATGAAGCGGCACAAGGCACAGCACGTCCGTCATGAGAAGTCAGAGCTCAGCACGGCGGTCATCGGCCGTGAAGCGCAGCATCCACCTTACCGACCTGGCAGATTCTCAGGCTGGAAAGGCCACACTGTCGGCAGGTGTTGCAGGTGCTAATTCACCGATGGCAAAGTCTCGCTCAGGCTGTGGATGCTTTCTGAACCAAACCCCTCCCCACACATCTCCACAGAACACCAAGTGGGGAGAGACGGTGAACCCACACACCTCACCCCCTCCTCCTCCTCCACACAGGCCGAGCACAGTTCTTTCCATGTATACTTAGACATTAATCCCTCATTTTCCAGTTAATTCCTTTCATTTTTTCAATTAAACAAGTTCCAAGATATTTAGTAACAAAACTGAAAGAACTATTCACTCATATTTTTGCCCTTTACGTACAGGAGTTTCTCGAGCATGTTGCATGAAAAATAATAAAGATTCACAACGTTCTCATGTCTGCATAGTGTTGAGAAGAATTTTAATTTTCTGAGTTTTTGGTATCACAGAGAACTTGTGTTTCATACAAGCTGCCTTATTACACAGGAAAAAAAAAATCATCATTTACAGTATTAAAATACAGCAATTTCGGGTGTTTGCAATTTGTGAATGAGACACTTAGTATCATTAATACAAGTTCATTCCTGGAGAAAAAAAAAAAATCAAAACCAAACAAAATTACCTGTTAGTCATAAAATAAAACACAGTATTTAGAGAAAACTATTTTGAGTTAATTTTTACAATAAAAAAATCCTTATCTGTTTAAGACCTCAACTACCTGTTAAGAAGATGCTACCTCGATGCTCATCAAAATTTAACTATTTCTAAGTTAAAGTCATTATTCAGATGTCCTCAGACACTCACCCATTGTTTTATGCACACAAAACTATTAGTACCAACAAGTCGGGTTATTAAGCGTGGCTATATAACCTCCTTCTGTACTTGAAGCAAGCACAGTTTGTACAAATTGCTTACCTGAGCACCTGACAGCGCTTTCCTGAACCTGCTGTAGTTTTTCTTTTTTACTAAAACTGGATTAAAACCTCTTAAAAATCTTCCCTTGTACGTTCTGCAAGATTCAGAGATATTCTCAGTAATGCTATTATTGAATTAAAAATGCCTAAAGACTATTCTCTAGCCAGCTGCATTAACAAAACTAGACTGCCCGTTATTTTAGTCTACATTTAAACATGCTAGGTGTTACCTTGCTTCACGGGGAGTAAAAGGGAAAACAGCCACGATTCAACTGCAGGTGATAAAATGGCCTAGAATCCAATTCGTCTCTAGAATCCTAGAAACAAATTCTCCACACACCCCTAATAAAGTGCAGAAATTAAAGATTGCGTGAATTTCTGTGCTGTGTCTGAACAATGAATCACAAGTTTCTGCATGATCCATTTTGACTACGACACAATACCTTCAAACAGGATCAGACACTGAGAGCACGATGAAGTTATTGCCATTTCAGAAACACATATAAGGCAACTGACACATACTTTAGCAGTTGCCCACAAACTCCGGAAGAAGCTTTTTGCACTACAAGTCTATCTTTTCGTCAGAGGACTATTACAATTTTTAGGTGAAGTTACGGTTTTAAGACTCTGTACTGCCTGACAAGAGAGGTTGGGCTCTATCATCTCCAGAACCCTGTTATCAGTGAAGATGGTGGGAAAGCATGAATAGGTGGGGACCTGGGCAGGGCGGGACAAGACAACACATCAGCTAAAGTTCTAGAATACGCAGCATAGAGTAAGCTACAAAAACACTCCAAGGACGTCTGGTAGTCTATGTTACATATAGCAAAGCTTAGCATTAGAATGACTTACACAAAGAAAGTCTTATTTCACCAATAAGTTTTAAAAATACTTACTGCTTTTTAATTTGTAGAACAGTACACCTATGGCTTCTACAGCGACCAGAACACTGACTAACCACCCTTTCGTTTAGAAGACTAAGACATTCTTCAGCCAAATGCTGTCCAGAGAAATTATTTTACTTAGTGGTTCCTCATAACTTGGCTCTTTGAGATTGCAGACTTGCATTAAGGATGCTTGTAATCCATGAACTGTAAACATGGATCAGTTTACCTAAACAGAAATGGAAATGTCTTGAAATAATTTAAGCATGGAGCAGTAAAGAGGGGAGGAGAGTAATAAAATTAAGCAGGAGTCATCGATATCTAAGATTAAGACAAATTAAGTTATTCAAGTGTCTCCTCCCCTCTTCTATATAATGTTTGACAGTGAAATCAAACTCTCCCATTTTGCTGCCTTGACCAATTTCTCACTACAGGGTAAAAATACATGCCCAGTAAAAGTTCTTTAAATAAAAAGCAAATCCTTTAAATGAAAATTTAAATTTATTTTGAAATTTTTAAATGTCATTTCTATCAATTTAGACACACCATTTGACATTATCAGATCAGAGAATTTACAGTAATTCATGGATAAAGATTTGGCTTTTACATTCAAATACTAAATACTTCAGAATAGCTTTTGTCTTGTTATTTCCAAACCAGAAACACTAAAGAGCATTTTATTTTGCCTTTCAACCATCTCTGTTAATCAAAAGACTTTTGATATCTGCTGCACTCAAAGGGGAACATGCACAACACCAAAGGAATTACTTTGTTTGAATGAAGGGAGTACCTTAATTACATTTCCAGATTTAAGACTAGTTCATTGTAGCATCAAAAGGCAGTGCTAAGTAGAAACACAAATTCTTTTCAAAAACGTATTTTACTCAGACTGCAGTGCCTGACCTACTTGGAAAGCCTCTTTATGAGGATAAAAAGCCTTGCTATCCAGTGTTGACATCACACAGCATTAAAAGTTTAGAAAGTTTTGTCCAGTTTTCATAATTATTTTGGAAACAGTATTATAGAATTCCATCATGATCCTAACGCTATCCTTCTATTAGTGGTTAACAGTGAAACTCAATCCACCTCTCAAACTTAAAAATTGTGTTGATTTTACTGCTTACTATGGATTACCTTCCTATTCACTAGCACTGACTTGAAACTGGAAAAACAAAAAACACTTGCAGGGAAGAGATTTGGTCAATTTGCTCCTTCTGGCAAGGAGAGTGCCCCTCAAGCGTGTTTGAAACAACTGTTTCAAAGCGAATGCGAGACCACCCCCCTCCAGGAGGGTCAGCCTCCCATCACATATCTTAAAAGCTCAGAAGCCCTGCAGTTTGTAAAAACAATGCAAGCTCTAAATCCCTGGGAAAAAAAGCTTATCATAAAATTGGCACTCTAAAATTGTATGTTGACACAGGGAATCTCATAGTAAGGTACTCAAACAGGTAAGAGTCCTTTGTCTGCACCTCAGGAGCACAGGCTGCCGCTGCCTTCAGTCAGTGAGCAGCACATCAGGGAATATCTGAGATCACAGCAACAACTCTGCACTAGAGTCCAGCATTTGTAGTATTAACGTATTTGAGGGTGGGGAGAAGGACAGATTTTTGTTTTATAAGAGGAAAATACTTCTAAAATCAGACATAATGAATTTTCTCCCCACCTTTATTTTCACTGTCTGATGGAACATCATTAATAGTGTGCCAGGAATGCTCTATCACCTGATTCCAGAAGTCTGCTGCGCTGCAAGAATCACGGGCACATTCCCTGCTCAGGGAAACACAGCAGAAGTCGTAAGCATCTATTCTATTACAGTTTTAGAAGCCACATAAGAAACATGTAATCTTAATCTTCCCTGTTGGTAAAGTCTGTTAACCTAGTTAATCCACAGGTATGATATGTATTTCAATACCCAATCAAACAAGCATATTTATAAGCCTTTGAAGTATACAGAAAACTCAGTTCTGTCCTCTGATGCTGTTTTTCAAGTTTGTTTTATTCACTCTTTTGGATGACTATAAATAAGTGTTTCCACTATGGAAAAGAAAGTTAGCACAGTACATTTTCATGACTGGGGAATGGATTTTCTGAAGACATCTTCAAAAGGGCAAAATCTTAGAAAAAACAACCTGAATATTGAATTCAGTTCCTTATAAAGTCCCTTGTAAAAATTAAAAAAAAAGAGAAAGAAATAAAGAAAAACAAAAAAAGGAAAAACTGCAAGGCCCAGGATGATTTATTGCTTTTCTTCAGTTTCTTCCTTGGTCTCTTTCTTCTCAGATTCTTTGCTCTCCTCCTTTACAGAAAGCTCTTCTAGTTTTTCAGCAATTTTGTCAGCACTATCATTTTTGTCTGTGCCTGCTAAGAGATTGATTAGGAAAAAAGTTACATACAGGCAGTAATGGACTTTCCTGCTACAAAGGAAATAGGAGAGAAGTGTACAGGGTGAGGGGGGTGGGGAGAGTTGGTATTTAGAACGAGGATAGAAGTAAAGATGTTCTTCTCTGAATACTGGAATGATTCATTCCATTTCTTTTCCTTTGATAATTACCTTAGATATCAGAATTCAAGAAATACCACTTGCATATTTTAACAGTTAAAGGAGTGACTGAGAAACATGTAACATTTGGTCCAGCAGGTAAATGTCTCAAGTCCCTGGCTTCTCACCTATCTCAACCAGAAAAACCCAAGTCAAGTTCCCTAGTTTGAACTGGGGTATAGGAAGCTCTTATGACTGAAAAATTCTGATCGAATTATCTTAAAGAGCACTCGCTGCAGATCACTAGTGACCTGTACTTTAGAATGACAGAAGTGTTTATTTCACATGGTGAGGCCGTCTTGCCACATAGGCAATTCTACAAGGCATCGCATTCATCTGTTAAATAAAGAGACCCGTGAAGAAATTCTACAACTTCATTCAGGCTAGCAACTATACAAATTACATGTTCTACTTGCATGAATATATACTTGTGGAATTTGGGAAGGAAATAGCACCGTGGTTGCAGTGTTCACAGTTCATTTGTGTCCTATGCATCAGAAGTGTTTCCTTAGTAGCCTCTCTGTAAAAAAGCAATGTCCCAACAGCGATTGTAACGGCCTTCTACAGGCAAGAAGGCAATTGTCACTCCTGTGAACTATTACTCTCGCAGACAGAAAAAGCACCTGAACTGAAGACTGCAGTTCAGTACAGAGTGAGTCTGCTAAAACACATGATACTCCAGGGGACCATAACCACTCCAACAGCTAGAAAAAAGTGGCACGGTACTACGCTTCAACCTTACCTTTCTTTGCTCGCTTATCTACTTCATTCCTGCATTCTTCAAATTTTGCCTTGAATTTCTGTGCATCTGTTTCAGTAAAGACAGAATATTTTTTCATTAGTTTTATCTACTTGCAACATTCAATTCTTCCAATCTTGAGCACAGATACCAGAAGGTTTGTGCAAACACAACTTGTGGCACTTATGAAGTAATCTAGTTTAAAATTATACAAGATACTATGCAAAATTCTTGAACTATATCTTTGTGCTGAAGCAGTTCATTTTCTTAAGAAAGTCTATTAAAGAAGCTTATTTTGCAAAAAAGCTTAAAACATCATGCCAGAAGGAACTGTTCTGTAGTTATTGCAACCTTCAGCTGTCCCTAGTCTATAGGAATAAGAATACGATGTCAGAGACTGCTAGTTCAACTATCTGTGTGCAAAAGACCAAAGATTAGCTTTGAACTACTACCCCCATCAGCTACATTCTACTCTGAACCACCTCCACACTCTTACCATAAATTAGGGTTCCTGGCATGAAGGATGGAGGGTTAAGCCTTTTTCATTAGTACAGCATTCAGATTCAATAGCCGAAGGCCTGGACTTAAGCTATTCCTGATTACTACAGGTAAGGAAGCATAACCTTCATTATATGTTTTGGTCTAAGCTGACACATGATTTAACAATCATTCCAAGCAGTTGATCAATTTACAATAACATTTCTACACAAGTAATACAAGCAACAAGACACAAAAGTCAATCAGGCAAGTACTTTCTAACGCCAGAGCTGCAGCCAAACTGCCATACCAGATCACCGGACCGACCACAGGAGGTCACTGTCGCCCCACAGGAATTCAGAAGCCACTACAAAGCTAGGCCAGCAGGTATCTGTGTTGATTTTCAAGCATCTCAAAAAGGAAAGATACTTGAAGAGCAGCCTACGTCTATTCGCCTGTCATCTGCTCAGTCTATACTGTGAAGGGTAAACAGGCAAAGGGGACTACTTCCTCAGGACAAAACACTCAATAAGCAGAACAACCTTACCACAAAGAGGGGAAAGACTTTTCAAAGATGAGCAAAGAGTTACCAAACCCTTTAATTTCATATTGGGTTAAGAAGCAAGCACCAAGCTGATGGATCACAAAGATTTATTTGGCTAAACAATACCATGTAGGAAACTTGAAAAAAAAAGGAAGCAAGCAAGATATACTAAGTTCTTTCCAGATGTAGACAAACGCATCTGAATTTTAAAATACACAGCCACTGGATGAGCCACGTAGCATGTATGCAGAAGCGGCTTACACGCTAAACTTGTGTGGCAAATGGTAACAGGAAATGCAAAACCATTTTCCTCTTCCCTTTTGCTGCTTCTTTCAAGAAAAACAAAAAATCAAAACACTTCTCTGATTGAAACCTAAGGAGTTGGGAAACCTGCACTGTCATCCAGCCCTAGTAGCTGATCGACACGCAATTACAGACCTGCTTTCTGTTCTGGTAGTCAGTGTAGTCAGTCCAGAAAAAGCCAACAACTAGTACGATAGTTATGTTTGACTTGCACTTTTTTCACAGGAGTGATCAATTTAATCCGAAGAAAAAAGGTACTACATACTTCATTAAAAAAACCACAACCAAAGCACAAACAAAAATTAATAATCAGATGTTCTGCTAATGCAGATGGACCAGAAATCTCAGGTTTTTGCTTCTAAAGCAAAAACATACTCTTAGCGACTGTTAGGAACCCAAGATAAAGGAAAGCAAGCTGCATATATTAATCTGTCTCCCAGTATAACTGCTTTGAGTTTTATTCTAATTAGCATTATACTTGCATGAAATAGCTTAAGTTAAAAAATTCCAAGTGCCCAGGGCAGAAAGCTCTACGAACATTACCACAGACCTAATTATTACACTGTTTGTCAACCCGTATGGTTAAGTGATTAACCGACTTCTCTCTGTAAAAGCAGTAATTAGCTAACACTACTATGCAGTGGTAAGATACAGCGTATCTACAACAGTAGTTTACAGCAGTGTTTAGACTTGGTACATAATCAGTGCACGTTCAGTGCCAGTCACTCACTCTCTGCGTTTAAAAACCGGATTGCCAAAAGTTCAGGCTTGGGGCTTTCATCTGCAAAGTCAGCGTGTGTGTTCCAGACCCACGCCCTGTCGCTCCCAGCGTTAGGCTTCAGCTCCATTAAGGGGGTGACTGAAAAGAAAGCGTTAAAAGATGTACACAGCACAGTACTAAACGTTTTTCACACCGGCCTCCATAAACCTTAATGCAACTGACTGTAAGGGTTATGTAAAGCACTTCACACAGAATTACCTTTGGATAAATAGAAGACAATGGTGCCTGTATAGATTTTTCCTTACATCCTCAAAATTACACAAGGCCATTACTGTATTTAAAAAAAAAAGCTAGATTCCCTATGGTTAAGAAACTGAGAGTTTAATTCAATCCTTGTTTAAAACAGGAGACTTGATACCAAGAGATATGTAGTCTCTAAGCACAATTCTGAAGAAGAGACAAATGGCTTAGGAGGAAAAGGCATCCAGAGGGAGAAACAGTACTCTTCTTTTGCATACTGGAAATGCTACCAAAAAATATTATTAAAAAACCCTCACACATTATTCATACAATTAGTTATCAAATCAGGTTCATTTCTCTCCTATCAGTTTAAAGCTCTACGACAAGGCATTACAGAATTCTGCAGTGCTGCAAGATGTGCACAACACAGTTTCAATCCATTTGTTCTTTTCCAGTAAACGGAACCCTTTCCCTTCACAACACAATTACTTTACTTCACTGACTGGAGAAGTTGCAATGTTAATTCTTACACTACTCCAAGACTTTTTAATGTTACACACATGCCAGGATTAAGCAAGGAGTTGTTGTGCTCTGACCCGAGTCCTCTTCTGTCCGGAGAAATCTAGAAAATCTACTCACTTTCTTGCGTTTTTAAAATTTAGAGATTAAATCACATTTTGTTTAATTTAATGAAGATTCCTTTTGTTTGCCTGTGAGTCAGCAAAAATTTATTAATAAAATCTATACTGAAAGCAGTTTTTCCGGAAAAAAAACAACAAAACAACTTTGGCCATGAACACTATAAATTTATCCACTCTGTTTTGCATATATGCAACTCTTGTTTTCCTAAACAGAAGGGTTATTATTGGTTGGTGACTACATTGCTTTCATATATGCTATTTCATTTACTAAACAGAAACACATGTGTCCTCTGAATAGTCTGACTTTCTGAAGAGATCTACCCAAAGAACGTATGTATTATTGCTTCCAACTTCAAATTTGTATTAAGCTACTTCAAACAAGTTATTGCAAGTTATCTAAACGTAGTTGTAGCTCCACAGAATAGTATACTCCTCACAGAAAAACCTGAGTATTACCAAATTAGCCTACTTGTTGCTAGTTCTATTGACTTTCAAGTCTGTCTTGCCCTTTCATGTTTATTTTTATTCAAAGAGGATCAAAGCAACAAGCCTCTCCTGCTCCCGCGGCTCTCAAAACATATTCTTACTGAATATGCCATATTCATTTCAGTTTATTTCACAAGCAGAGAAAGGCAGTCAAAGATTAGTCTAGCACCTCAGTACTTGTTTTCTGATGGTTAAGCAATTGCTCTTAGCAATTCAAACATTTAGCTCCTTTTATGAAATCATGTCAGCATACATTCATTTCTTATCCTAAACAGTACTAAGGCCTACATTTTCTATACTTTATTAATCATTAAAAAACACACACACAGAGGGAGCGATCACATAATGTCTGTGTTTAAAAGTGTCTCTAGAACACCACCAGTTTGAAGAAAAAACAACCAAAGAGGCAACTTTAAGACTCAGCTATCGCTTCTTTCCATTAATAATTGCTCATTGGGTTTGATGCTTGCAGCCTTGTGTGCAGAGCAAGAGATAACTTACTTAGTCCAATACAAGTCTGACACTCATTTAAAGACACAGAGCAATTCTCTAGCTGCTGCTAGAAACCCATGAAGCTCTTCACCTACAACATACAATTCTACAAGCTTATTTTTAAAAAACAAAAATTAAGTATAATGTATAACCTACTATAATGGTTTGCACAGATTTTTAGGGTTTTATCTCTCCTCATGAGGAGGCGAATTGTTCCTTTCTCCTTGTGTTTCAAGAGTTTTACATCACCAGTTCCTCGTTCTTTCCATTCTGGAAGGTCATTCTCAGATGCAAATCGGAATAGCTTTGCTCGCCTTGAAGAAGAGAGAATTTAAGAAGTTAGCCTGCATCCAGCAACCTTCATCTGAACAGCAAACTCAACAGTGGAGTTGGTTTTTTAAAAGCCACAGACAAGAATGAAAACAATTCCTTTTTAAAGTTTCTCTGTTCTACTTTGGCATACAAACCTAGTAACTGATAGAAAGCTATCAGGAATTATGTAATAACTACACTAAAATTCAACAGGTTCTGAACACACTTTTGGGGGATGATAAAAATGGTTGGTGGAGGCAACCTTTTAAATTAAGGTAGCTAATTAAGAGGTTTTGGTACAGCTAGAGTTCTTATATATATATATATGAGATACAACTGCTCCATCTACCCAGCAGTATTTATTAATTCAGTAAGTAGAGCAGCTTGAGGCTGACTCTTGTATAAATCCAAGCCCAATGTTTGATCAATGAAGTCGATGAAGTATCTCACCCTCAAGGGTCACTCATTTCCTTTTAACTCCAAAAACTTAGTTATTGCTATTCTTAAATCAGGAATAAAGGAAGCTTAGTGCTGCACTGCAGTGCAACATACCTGCTTAATGTTCCAAGACGCCAGCAGTGTGCCAAAAGAGAAACAGAAGCAGTCTGGGCCATTAGTCAAAACTGACCCAAGAGACAGCGTGAGCTTTGCTACTGAGGACTTTAGGAAAGGAAGCATCTGCTCACACTACAGGATACACATAAAAATATATTTTTCTACAAAAAAGCAAGGGATAGAGACTTGTAATAAGCCAGGTCCTTCAAGACAAGGTGTCAGACATCGAAGCAAGCTACTCTTAACAGATGCTCTGATGCAGATGAGCTATTTTGTTCTAATGTGAGTCCTTCCTTCCAACTCCAGCTGGCATTCAAGAGGTTGTTCCTCTAATTTTAGCCATCAGAACAATAAATACCAACCAACTCACACTACCACTTCAAATACAGAGATTCCTAACAAGTTATCTTGTTACTTTTTTATAGACACATTCAAGTTCAAGTCTAATAAACATTTAGAAAATGTACAGAGTATTCTACTTGCATCTTAAAGAGTTCCTCTTCATCCTCTTCCAGAGTTTTTATTTCTTGCTCAGGAAGGGAAACTATGGGCTCAAACTGAGGATCGTGGTTAGAATCATCAGCGTTTTCAGTAGAAGTATCATGCTCCTCATGAGTTTCCTGGAGAGAAGAGGAAAAAAAAAAAAAACAACCACACAACTTGCTATGTACTTAATCTGAAGTACTTATAACTGCGTTTCAAGTGAAAAGATTTATAATTATTCAGCAATTACATCTTAGTAACTGAAATACCCTGTAACAATAAAGAAAAATTACTACAGCTGAAACCAAATGGCTTTAAAGTTAACATATAGTAGCTATGCTGAGCAAGAAGCAACGAATGCTCTTGCAGTGCTAGATGGTTTAGTCCTACCACTCTTACTAATTGTGTAGAGGCTTGGCCTTAGGACCATATGCTTTTGGTTATGGAAAAACAATTTATTCAACTATTTTTCCCCACATAATATTTTATGCCTCTAAAGCACGATTTCTTAGTGGCTAGTGACCTACCGTTAATGGGAAAAAAAAGAAAAAACAAACACCCACACAACACCAAACCAACCACCTAACCCAGCTTAAGGGACCTCTAACATCTAGGTGTTTGTTTTACATACTAGAATCTCCCACAATCAAACATATTTTTGAAGTACTGTTACAGAACATGAAATAATAATTTTTTTTTTTTTTTGCTTTAAGTCTCTTTGGGGAACTTTAGTTTATGGGTAAAAGGCCAAAATACTCCTTCCTATTTAGGTATTTAGGAATATGTCAGAGCATTCACTAAGCTTGAGAATTGTTTTTAGTATATAACTAGTGAGCAAATGATAAACATCTCTAACACTTCATATATATGCACTGCTAAGAGCCTAGAAAGGAGATTCATCTGCAAATTTAATGAGACCACAAAGAGCTATTTCAGGTCAAGGGAACTGATTTACTGTTTGAATGACAGAAAAAGGAAAAAGTATCTATACATCGAAGACACTGAAGTCTTCACTTTACAGATCAAAGACTTCACTCTTACAGGCTCTATTCAGACCATCCTTTATAGAGCAGCTACACACCACACACATAAAGCAGTTTATTTTAAATAAATAGTTTTACTAAAAAGTAAAGGTGAAAGGGGGAACTGGATCGGAAAAGTTCCAAGAAATTCTGGTTATGCCAACACCACCACTCCATCTATCATTAACTTATGTCCCCAGTGTTCCAGCAGACGAGAAAAAAAGCGAGAAAGCCATTCAGTCCCAGCTGCTTTCAAGGAACACGAAAGCACCGGCAGTTTTCTCTATATTGTCTCCTCCAGCAGTAGCAGCACAGCCCAAACCCTCCTGCGCCTGACCAGCCCGCGCAGCCAGGAGCGGGGCGCTCGCTCACAATGGCCACAGGCGGGGGGACGCGCAGCCCGTTATCACGGCAGGTCCCGCCGCCAGGCCAAGCACGTGGGGCCGCTC